TCGCTATCAGAATGCCGGGCTGCAGTGTGTTCAGTGCCCCAGGGTCAGGGTGCTGGGCCACAGTGGATGAGGCACTGGAGTTTTTTGGGATTAACTTCAAAGGGTTACAGATAGTCTCCTCTGTTCAAGACTAAAGAGACTTTGTTCCCGTGTGCAGTCAGGTCTTAATCCATTTCCCCAGCAGCTAGTATTCCCCGCCGGGGGAAATGCCGAGGTTCTGTGCACAGAAAGCTCTCACTCCTGCGTGGCCCCTTCCTGCGCTCGCCCGGGTGGTCTCCACGAGGCCCGCCGCGGCGACGCTGTGATCGCTGCTGCCCCTGGGTGATGAGCTCATCCCGGGCCCAGCGGTGTGCGTTTCAGTCACCCTCCCTGCGCTGAAATCGATCACGCCGCCGAGAGCCGGGCTGTAACCTGCTACCTGAAACGCTAGACGGACCCTCTCGTGGACAGGAAGGAAGGAAGGAAGGGAGACGGGGGGGAGCGCTGGGGCGGGGCGGAGGGTCGCCCCCTGGGTTCTGCGGGTTCTGTCGCAGCAGGAGCAGCTCGGGCCTGTCCCAGGCGAGTCGATCATCGATCGTATCGGTGGCCTGCGTGTGCAGCACCTGTCCTGTGTTGGCAGCGAGAACATCCTCCTCACCATCATCAGGAGGAAGGTACCGGACTGCAGGAAACGGCCAGCGAGGGTGACTTGGGACAGCGGGTGGTGTTGATTTCTCACGTACATGAAAACATGATTGTGCTTACAAACACCCAGCCTGTTTGGCAGTGAGCAGCCAGCTGACCTGAGGACCTCATCCGGATGTTCAGACTGATACCCTGGCTTCTCTTACAACACAACACGGCTGGGCAGCTTGTTCCACACCCCCACAAAACCTCTGTGTAAAGTGCCCCTCGTTCTGCACTTCCCCGTAGTTTCCTCTAGATTGTATTTCCCCCCAGCTGGGTGGACTTTGAGGATTTGTAATCCTTGGGTCGGTCCAGAGTTTGCCCTCATCAGTAGGAGTGGGAGCAGTACTGGGTTTGTGCACTGGGCTCGTCTGAGCTCACTCGGAGTACTCTGCACAGCTGGGGACACAGCGCTATGAAGTGGACACTGTGGAAGAAGTGGAGGCTACAAATGTTCGTCTGCGTTTCAACTCCCAGGCTCGCGATACTAGCGAGCTCTGAGCAGCTCTGTTCTGCCCAACCCCTGGTTTCTGGGACCAGACTGTGGAACCCGCTCAGAGTGTGGTGTTGG